CCCTGACACCCCGATCGACCCCGGACATGATGATGATACAAAAACATCATATATATTTGTGTTGTTCGGGTGTATTTTTATCATGTTCATGATGATGATAGACTTAAATTATATACATATTATTATGTTCATGTCAGGTATACAATTTTTTTATGTTGTACTAATTTTGTTTACTTTTTGTCATTGCAGGTGTTGACAGGATGGTGGGTAAGGGTCCAGAGCGCCCCGAGCCTCCTGCGAGCGCTACTGTCAGGGGTGGTTCCATTATTGCACCCCAACCCCTCCAGGGAGCGCTGCTAGATAGTATGCAGACAACTACGGCAGGCGCTTCTACTTCGGCTGGGAGAGGTCGGGGGAGGACGAAGAAGGCTGGTAGAGGTGGACGTGGCAGCGAGAGAGGTAGGAAGGCTGCTACGCCTTCCTCGCCGCCACCCTCAGCTGATTCACCTGACCACAGGACTGCTCCTTCTGACGTGGACCCGTCTCGGACCCGGTCCATGAGCCTCCGGTCGTTTATCCTTCGCCCCACCAGACTCGGGTCGCTGATCCTTCGGCCCACGTGAGTCCGGTCCTAGAGTCTTCATCCCAGAAGACTTCGGTCACGGGGTCTTCGTCCTAGAAGACTTCGGTCCCGCCGTCTTCTTCCCATGAGACTCCGGTCCTGCCGTCTTCTTCCCACGAGACTTCGGAGGCTAGTGGCCCGAATGATGGTAGCGAGTACACCTTTTCAGATGATAGCTACAGCGAGGACGAGATGGATGAGAAGGACAAGAAGGTCTACAAGCGTGGCGGTACAAAGCTCCCACCCATGCCGACGACCCCCGACCAGAGGTGGTTGATTGCGCCTAAAGGGTTGAAGTAAGTGCATTTACTATTTTTTTACCTTTTGCCTTCATGTTCCTTCAAATTAATATCTAATGCGTTTGCCTTGTCATACTGCAGGGGCTGGGTATACCCCCGTGACCGTGGTGTCCGCAGGCCCAACCAGGTCCTTGGCACGCTTTGCCGGCAGCACTTCCCTGCGTGGGTCACGATGCCCAGTGAGGGTCAGGTTCCACAGCTAGCACTGAGCTGGGAGCTGTACTCTATTGCCCCGGCCCCTCCAGGGGAGATGGTCGCCAGTGTCGCGTGCGAGACGGTGGCCGACATTGTGTTCCGTCGGTTTTGGGTAATTTCTCCTTTAGAGAATTAAAAATGAACACTACCTACCTAGTGATTGTACTAATCATTGTTGTCTTCCTTGATTGCAGACCTTCTACAGGGTTTCAGAGGGAGAACAGGAGGCCGCGGCTATGGTTGTCGAAGCTGAGTGCAAGTGCCTACTTCAGAACTTACGGCACGAGGCTCGGGTGCAGGCCGTTCGAGACTACTACGCCTCGCAGGGTATTAGGAGGGCCAAGAAGAAGTGTCGCAGCAAGTTTCTGAGTAGGGAGAAGTACTTGTCGGTAATTATACCTATTCTTAAGGCCTTGAACTTAGTTTTCTTGATTTGATTCATAGCACTGAAGTTTCTCTTGACTCGCTTAGGTGCCCCCGAGATGGTGTGTCGATAAGATGGACTGTTGGGAGGCGTTGGTGGATGCGTGGTGCTCTCCCGAATGGCGGCTTGAACACCAAAGGGCCAAGGATAAGCGCGACCAAATGGAAGGTGTGCCACACCATCAAGGGAGCTCCAACCTGTTTGAGCACGGGCATAACTGGGTATGTGGTTTGCCACATGATTCATGCAATTTCATTCTTCATGGTAGCATTTATCCTTTCCAAAATGACTTAATATGCTTAGTTAGTTAAAATGACACAATAACTACCTCGGATACTTCAATAATGACATAATTAGCACAATAATGACTTAATATGCTTTAGTTAGTTAAAAAATGGCATAACTACCTTCGATAGCTCAATAATGACTTAATATGCTTTAGTTAGCTAAAAATAGCATAACTACCTTGGATAGCTCAATAATGACATAATTAGCATACTTTGGTCAAAAATGGCATAATAATCTTTCTTAGCTCCAAAATGACCTAAACTTAGCTTATTTTCCTCGAAAATGACATAATAACCTTTCTTAGCTCCAAAATGACCTATTTACATAGTAATATCATTCTTGATGCTAGCTTAAGCCCTTAACTAATATTTCGTTCCTCTCTCTCAGTCGCAGTACAACAAGAAGCCTGTGCCAAGTCTGTTCGACCTCTATGGCATGGCCCATATGGCCCCGTACAAGAAGGCCAAGGCATTCACGGAGTCTGACCTAGATCAGCCAGAGAGCTTCACCAACATCTCCTCCCACCACAAGCTTGTGAAGTCAGAGACGAGGGGAAGACGAGGAAAGGGAAGGACTTTAACCCGAGCCAGGATCCTTTTGATACAGAGCTGGTGATGATATCTGGTGGTGGGAGGTCCCATGGCTCTCAAGCCATTGGTGATGGACTGATACGTTGTCCTAAGACTCTCCCGCGGATCAAGAAGCACCCGAGTAGCTCTGATCCTGAGATAACACCTCGTGCACGGCCCGCGAAGCTCGCC